GGGGGTGGGGGGGGGGGGGTAAAAGTTGTTTGGCTGTACCATTTAGATGTATTAACCATAATGACAGTGTCAAACACAAATACATGTAGGGGCTATCAATTTGCACAACCAGCTGGATTTCTTATTTCCTGTCCAACATGTCGGAAGTTGTTGTGTTATATGATTGTTATGCAAGAGTGAATTTCCTTATTTCTAACTTAGTTATCCCATTACCTAGTTGTTATTTAGACATCCATTAAGTTTTAGCAGTAACATCTGAAAAACATTCAAACCTTCTCTCCATTATGATCAAGGGATCTTAATAATGTCTCTTTTTTATTCTTCATTATAAAAAAGAATCAAATTCTTTGCTTTGTTATTTTGTGTATTACAGTCAAACTTGGGGTTGGAGGCTTTAGCATGGGCGCAGCAACCTCCCTTTACTCTGCCACTTGCTTCGTCCGTGGGAAGTATGAGAATGGCAACTCGTACCCTGTCAATCTGAGTGCAGCTGTTGGATTAAGTGGCTGGCTTCCCTGTGCAAAGTTTGACTTCTAGCAATCTTGTCTGTAATCTCTTCAGAGACATTTATGATGTTTTTGTGTTGACTGCTACTATTCTGGCAGGACTCTCACTAGCAAATTAGAAGGGGTAGAGGGGGCTGTAAACCGTGCTACATCATTGCCCATTCTTCTTTGTCATGGCAAAGGTACTAAAATGCTTCATTTTCTCTTCTTTTTTTTTTTGATCAGGGATGCTTCATTTTCTCTTCTACTTGCCTTTTCTCAAAAAAAGAAGAAGAGTAAAATACTTCATTTTTCTGCCTAGTCAGTTTGAACATGTCCCTAAGTTTCCCTACTTTTTAAGTTGTCACTCACCCTACCTTAGGGGGGGGGGGTTGGCTGCTTTATATTTGTTAGTGAAGTTCCTTGCCTCGCATCTGTCACATACTCACATTCATGATAAGTACTGTTCATTGCCTGATCTATGCATAAATTTGAAGAATTTTCTTGTCATTTCTCTTTAATGATCTAAAAACATCTCTATATTGTCCAACAAAACACAATCTGTCAAATTCTTTTGTTTCGCGGCACCTTTGTTGATCAATTATCCCAGTTGTTCTCATTGGAAGAAGGCTGTAATTGCTCATTAGTGCAAAGCTACATGAGATGATTGGGGAATCGAGAACAAATGTTGGGCCTCTAGAGCCCACCATATTCACGAGATGAGTGTTTTAAAAAAGACAGTACTAAGATGGATGTGCGTTTGTACAAAATTAAACATAATCAAATGGGGTAAAGCGTTCTAGTAGCACATTAGAGGATGAAATAAGAGAAGATTACTTGAAATGATTTGGCATATTTTACTAGATCTCCACAAATTCACTAATATGTGTATGCGACAATATGATTATTAAGGTACTAACTACTAATAGGGATGATAGCATAAAATCACATGGAGGGAAATTTCTAGAAGTCCTACAATCTGTAAGAATGCAATTTATAGTTAATTACAGAAAACGATGAAATCAAGGAAGCCATATAAGTGATACAACTGCTTAGCATTTAATAAGCTTAGTTGTAACACTTACACATTTGGTTTAGCCATTCAAGGTTAGGATAGGTTTGAGATATATGAAACAGTGTTCAAAATGAAATATGAGATAGATAACCCTTAATTTTGTCTTGACAATATGTTGTTTATCAGTATTGGTATGAAAGAGTTTTGAATAGAGTGGAATGGTGGATATAGAGGATTCATATAGCTGATCATCGGTGCCAAATATGAAGAGGAAGACAGTTGAATGACAAAGGTGGTGACTAATCCATATTGGGTCAGTTTATGGAGATCTATAAGAGACATGTGGGATGAGGTGAAGAACAACTACTCAAAGAAAAAAGTGATGAATGGAAGAAAGACCAAGTTTTGGAAGGATGAATGGCATGAAAAAGGCAACTTGGAAGCTTTATTTCCAGATATTTTCAATCTAGCTTTGTTCCAACAAAGATCCATAGCAGAGCTATGGACGCCACAGGGGTGGAACTTTGCCTTTAGGAGGCAGCTAAATGACTGGGAAATTATGAGAGTTGCTGAATTCCTTAACACAGTGGACACCTTTAATGGGCTTCATACTGGGGAGGATAAATTATGGTGTAGTGGTAACAACAAAGGGGTATTCAAAGTTAACAAAGCTTACAAGATGATGGACCAACCTAGTAATCATAATCTAAATCGGCCATGGAAGCAAATTTGGAAAAATAGGATACCTCACAAAATATCCTGTTTCATCTGGTTATTGGCCAAAGAAGCAACTTTGACTCAGGACAATGTGATGAAGAAAGGGATAACCTTATGCTCAAGATGTTTTCTTTCTAAGGAAACATATGAGACGGTGAACCATTTGTTTCTACACTGCACTTACACCCTTAAGCTATGGAGCCATGCCCAGGAAAGTCTCAGAGGCTCTGAAAAGCTGGGAGGGAGCAGGAGTACATGCTAAAAACAGAGATAGATGGAGAATTATCCCTGCTGCTATATGATGGTCAACCTGGAAAGCGAGGAATTCTAGGTGTTTTGAGAGCATAGAGAATAGTGTGCAGAAGGTTAAACTAAACTGCATTATGTTGTTATGTTTTTGGTGTAACCAGGTATACTCAAATGAAACTGTCTCTATTGTTGATGTTCTAGACTCAATTTAGGTTCAGGGCAGTGAAATTTGCAATACATATGTATATAAGGTTTCAGTACAACCCATGTACTGGTTGTGATATAATACCAAGTTACTAAGTTCAAAAAAAAAGAAAGTAATATCTTTGATGATTGATATTTCTGATTCGGGACAAGATGGGAGTGGGCATCGTGGTGGACAAGATGCGAGAAGGGAGGTTGAGATGGTTCGGACATGTGTAGGGAGATGTGCCAATATCCCAATGAGGAGGTGTGAGAGGTTGGCCGTGGTCGGCCTGAGGAGAGGGATAGGTAGGCCGAAGAAGTCTTGGGAAGGAAGTGATTAGGCTGGACATGACGCTGCTTCAGCTTACAGGACATGACCCTTGATAGGAGGGTGTGGAGGTCGAGTATCAGGTAGGAAGGATAGTAGGTTGCCAAGCATATTAATATCATTTATTACACACCAGGGGTATTAGTATCATTTTTTTGTTTCCTTATTCTTAGGTTTCGAGTACTACTTGGTTGTTTCTTTCACTTTGTTTATCTTATTATCTTCCTGCTGTTAAGGCTTGTTATTACTGCTTCCTTTTCCTATCTCCTTGAGGTGAGGGTCTATCGCAAACAACCTCCCTGCCCTCACAAGGTAGGGGTACACACTACCCTCACCAGACCCCACTGTGGGTATATTGTTTTTGATTGATACTTCTGATCCTTATATATAAGGAGAGACCTACAATTTAGAAAGGAAAACAACGACCTTAAGAAATTGATAGAAGGGAAATATAGAAGAATCTAAAAATTGCTTTTACTCTAGTCCTCTAGAAATTAAGTGTCTATTTGTGCATACCCAAAGTTGGAGGGCATAAATGTGAAATGAGGACAAGTTAAAGGGCTTATTTATGTATTATGCCTATATAATATCTATAGGTTTTTCTTTGTTATTCCCTTAATAGACACAAACACAAGCACTCTCTCTCTTCCTTTTGGACTTGCAAAAAAAAAAAAAGGCACTCTTTCAACTGATGAAACGAAGTTTTTCCTTCTTGCTATAACCATTTCCCAAGGATAGTATTTTCTTTCCAGCTCTCATCTTTTCCTTTCCAATAATATTTATGAATAGAGGTGTATTTATCAGAATTTGCATTTCTTATTTCAAATGTTTTAACGTGCAAAATAATTTTATTTTCTTTTTTCCTTTTTATTATAGACCAGGGAGGAGTGGGGGGTGGGAGTTCTATCACATGATAATCTTGCTGCTGTGCCTTTTATAGCAAGACAGTTTTTGCAAAGAGTTGTATTGGTGCTAGATCTTGATCTAATAGTCTTACCTGATATATTTATGTTTGATTGACTCAGGAGATGATGTTGTTCCATATAACTATGGTGAAAAGTCTTCTCAGAAGTTACGTTCATGCGGATTTCAAGATGTGGCATTCAAATCCTACACCTCGTATGTATTTCTACCTGTTCTGATATTACTCCGTCCTTGATACTAGAAATATCACTGACTCTTTGACTTGTGTTTGACAGACTTGGCCACTATACAATCCCAGAGGAGATGGATGAAGTTTGTGGTTGGCTAACTTCAAAGTTGGGGCTTGAGGGAAAATCATAAGTTGTACTTCTGTTGGGCAACTTTCATTGCACAAATATGGAGAATCAGCATTAACACAAATATGTTAATGTGTTGAAGCAGCACTGAAAATTTGCAGAAACGCTGACTGACTGATTCACCTTCTAATATTTTGCGTCTTTACATTGTTCAGCGGTCATTTTAGGCCTACTGCTGTATTATTTAATCACGACGATAACGATGTTTTGGGTGTTTATTCTTAATACCATTTGATGAGAGATAAAATTATGTCCATTGACATGATTTACTTTGGCAATTTAGTAGTATATGGAAGCCAGAAAACTCCCTCTTGCTTTGATTGAATAGCATGCAGTTATATTTTCCAAGAGACAAGTTACAGCCACAAGAAACCAACAACAACAACATTCCCAATGACATCCTACAAGTGAGAGGACTTGGGAGGATAAAGCGTATACAAATTTTATCCTTATTTCTACCGTAGAGAGGTTGTTTCCAAAGGATTCTCGTCTCAAGTGCAGGAAACTATAAGAATAAGACATAGGCACCACCAAATCTAAATCCATTGAAAAGCAAGACAACCACTCTATTGTTATAGCAATAAGGCTAACACTACGATAAGCACCACCAAATCTAAATCCATCGAAAAGCAAGATAACACTCCACAATTACTAACTTTCTATTCAAACTGTAACTAATTAAGAGATCATTTCCTCTATGAGTATCTGGTGTAGTATTAAATAAATGTATGGTATCTCATTTTCACAAATACTGGCCTGTTTTCATCTTCCAAACTCAGAATGTTTACATGGATATTTGTGACCTCTAACAAAGGCATATAGCTCAATAGATCACAATTCTGTCACTTTGAACTAATACATATTGCACACTAAAGGAAACCTTAATAACCAAAAGCAAAAAAGGTTTTAAAATCAATGAACTAGTAATACATATAGCAAGCAAATGGAGAATTTGAGCAGTGGCCCTATGGGATAAGTCGATAGCCTTTAATAAACCAATAATACATATTGAATCTCCTGCAGGTAGCATGTTTTCACCTTTGGGTCTCTCTTATGAAAGCCACTTCACGACTTCCGATTGGAGATGACAACAAGTGCTTATCTTGATCTCCGTCTTCACTTTCAGTTGGTTCATGGGGCGTTGTAGATGTCATTGATCCACTTCCATCTTCTTCTGGATAAAAGAAAGAGTTGTTATTGAGTGAGTGAACATGTATAAGAAAACTAATATATTCAAAGCAGTGATTCAAAAAGTGAAAAGCAGAAGAAAACAACAAAATCCATGGGACTTGAAGTGAAGGTCACAATTCACATTTCACGCCATAAAACAACAACATACCCAACGTAATCCCACAAGTGGGGTCTAGGGAGGGGAAGATGTATGCAGACCTTACTCCTACCTTTGTGGGGGTAGAGAGGCTATTTCCAATAGACTCTCAGCTCAAAAGAGAAGTTAATCATAGTAGAGTTGGAAGAAGAAAAAATGACAGAAAAATATCCAGATACGAAGCACATGAAATAACAGATAGTAAAACACATTGAAGAATAAAAAACTACATGATTACTAAATACTACTAATAAGGAGGAGATTTGGCAAGCACCCTGCCTCTCCCACCTAAAGTGCGACAACACTCAACTACTTAACTTCTACCCTAATCCTTCATGACATAAAACAGACCGAACATATATGAATTTCGTACTAGAATGATCAAATTGCAATTAGAATAACTATTTGCAATGTCCAATATGCAGTAATACCGATACTAATGAAACCCCTGAAAGATGAGATTGAATGAACTGGCCACCTCTTGTTGGGATCACTTTGCATGTCATTGTTTGAAGCGCACACTTTTACAAAGCCCGTGGCTTCATCCATAAAGTGATATCCCTTTGATTCGCTCGCTTCATTGTTTTAAGTAACAAAGCGATGGCTTTTAATAATACCGATTCACAGAATAGCTATTGCATTTCTATTTATCATTACAAGGATATGGATCATGTTACCTGTACAATGATGGTACTCAGGAAGCTGTTTAACAGTTGTCGCTTGGAGGCTCTCAGGAAGAAGACAACTGCAGAAAGCACCTGAAATTAAAAATAACCAACACCTTTTAAGACACGTGTCATTGACTCGCCATATATGGTAATTGCATTGAGAGGTTATCCAAATATGAAAGGGACATCGAAGACCGGGGTGGGGGGGGATTGAACCCCCCTTATTCAAAAATTATACTATGTAAATAGATAAAAATGATTTTTTTACAAATAAATAAGTTGTTGAATCCCCTTGGTGTAAGATTTTTCTTTTGAATCCCCTTATTTGAATTCCTGGCTCCGCCGCTGTGAAGACTTAAGGTAATGTGTAAATTTTGTTGCCAACGAACCATCTTTGTTTAATAAAAAAAGACTTAACACCACTAGCGAAGATCAGTAAGAAACCTCACATCCATTAAGTAGAGAGACTATTTATCTTTATGAAGAACCAAACAAAAGGATAATGAAATTGCATTTTATTCCCCCTTTATTTACATGGTTTGTAGATATCATGCTCACAAGAATTGGACGAGTTTAACTCCATCAAATTGCATATATAACTTGATGAGATCATTAGCATGTATGTCAAGCACTTCAATCTCACAAAAGTCAATTAGAGCAGACAACAACATTAAGACAAGATTTTCAGATGCACCAAAATAAAGCGGCTTAGTATTGTGCCTCTACAAATCTCAGAATTAGTAAATTGCCACACACCCTCAGATGCCTAAGGTAGATCATATACCTGAATGCTCACTGCAGTTTTATGCCAGTATATCACAAAGAAACAATAAATGTGGACAAAAAGAAGTGAAAACTAGAGGAAAATGAATTTATAACAACATACCCAGTATAATCCCACTAGGTGGAGCCTGGGGAGGGTAGAGTGTGAGCAAACCTTACCCCTACTTGTGGTGGTAGAGAGGTTGTTTCTGAAAGACCCTCGGCTCCCCTCGGCTCAAGTAACTCATAACAACATACAAACGCAAAGCAGACATAACAAATAGAGTAATAAAGAAATCATTACATAGAATGAATTTAGTGCACCAAATATACATACCAACCCTGGCAAGCCGATTCACCCATCCAGGAATCCCTTTCCCTGTTAATCTCTGTGCTATGTCATCTGTGAAATGGTTACAGTTCTTGGAAATGAGGTGATAGGTATCCCCGTGATACTCAGAAGCTACATCCTCAAGAAATGCATGAAATTCAGAGGGAGGCATCTTAATACGACCCAATGGAACTGAACATCTGTAGATGAAACCAGGGCAGCTCTTAGGTTCCACTTCAAACACGCCACTTATGGGAAAGTCATGCGCTCCATATCCATATTCCATACCATGGACTGGAAGTTTTTTTCCATTGGCATATGCAGAAAGCAAAAACAAATTCAAACTCCAATCAACAAGAGGTAATTTAATATGCTATATTGAAGAGCTTTATATGAATGTATTCAGCATATGTTAGTTCTAAATTGCATACTCCACATACAAAAGAACCAAAAGAGTTTATCCAAAGTGAAAATTTTCTTCTTTTTTCTTGAAAAGAACATAGCCAGTTAAAGAATTAAGTTCTTTAGATGACAAATAAGTGTACAAATTTTCCTCAAGTAATTTGACCAGTTTGAGATTCATCTTATCATACTAGACACCACTATGGGGTTTTATGTACTTTCTTGATGCAAAATTACAATGTAAAATTCTTATGTTTCTTATTTGAACTTTTATGGCTCCAAATTTTGAAGGTGATGATTTAACCTCCAATCATGAAACAACCCATCCTAAGATAATGTAAAAGCTCAAAGATGTCACTGGCATCCCACACACAAAGAATCCACGTTAACAGGGTCTAGGGAAGGGCCACGCATTAAGGGGTGTGATGTAGACAGTCTATCCTAATACAAGTATTAGTGGCTGCTTCCACGACTCGAACTTGTGACCCATAGATCAGACAGAGACAACTTTACTTCCAAGGCTCCCCTTCTCACGGTGCAGTAAACGTGGATGCCACTACCGTGGAGAAAGAGCACCACTCTTTGGCATTTCGTGGATGAAATGCTATAGTAACACTTAAGGAGGACAAAAGTCCATGGGAATCAGTGTGGAGAGAGAGAGAAATGAGGTGCTGGAGGAGGAAGGGCTCAATGCAGAAAAGAAGTATATGGTTCCTCTCTCTAACTAAACTAACAGTTTGTGTTGCGAAAAGTGTCTGGGGTAAGGAGCAGCAGGGGGAGAGAGAGAGAAAGAAGGTTGTAGAATTCTTATCTTCCTGAGACAACTGAAACTTCAGGTCTCACTACCTCTTAATAGTTCCATCAATACTTGTATGAAAATGCCACTTTCAAGATATAGGAAGCTCATAGATATCTAACATATAATTTAGGAGACCAGATCAGTAATCCCTGAACACAACGACTACAAATTTTAGCGGTTGACATACTATACTATTCCAAGTATTAAGCTGAATATAAAACTTCCATAAAGAAATGGCTTATCTTGAATACTCCAGACTGTATGAGCAAAATAAGTTGCATCTACTGTCTTGCAACTCTGGTCATAGTTTTTTCTTATCAGGATCTCTTGGGTAATAATTATTAGGAAGTTTATGTATAACAACATTAATATAACAGGTGAATCTAGGAAATGCTAGTTGGGGTAGAGAAGTGCCATATTTCCATCGGGTTTGGCAGTTCTCGACATTTTCGATGTCTCAAGAATCTGGGAAGGGGGAGGCAATGGTATAAGATATCGACACATGATATTAGCAGAACTTTTTGTCCTGTAACAGTAATGCTTGTACAAGCATGACCCTCGGAAGTTTAACAATTCAGAAAATTGTAGGGAAGAATGAAATGAGAGGCGTACAAGTAAAACAGACGAGATCCATTACATGGACTGGTAAACAGTTGTTTACCTTTGAACATTCCATGAGCTCCTCAGTTAGCAAGCAACTAATATAAATAAGCTATTTATTTTACTCTCACCTATTCATTGACAAGGACAAATAAAATTCCAGCATCCACTTACGTATGACCATTGCAAAATTTATGGCTTCATGCGTACCCACTAAGTTGATAATCACTCAATACTACGCTTATTACAGGACTCCCACTTATCTCTTATATATGTGCAAATCTACAAGCCCTTCTGTCTTGGCCCAACAACAAAGAAAGTAGTACTCCCTCCGTTTCAATTTGTTTGTCCGGTTTAGACTTAACGAATTTTAAGAAAGTAAAGAAGACTTTTGAAACTTGTGATTTTAAACTAAATAGTAAAGATATGTTGAACTGTACCCAAATTTACTTTAATCTTGCAGTATTAAACATATCATGTGGAAGTTGAAATTAAAGGAGTTGTCAAAATAGGAAAGAGGCATTCTTTTTTAAACGGACTAAAAAGGAAAGTAAGACAAACAAATTGAAACGGAAGGAGTATCAAAGATCTCACATCTCTGATATGAGCTAAACACCCCATCATCAACTTGATATTAGAAAGATCAACAGTGTTACTTAATCAGAATCATTTTCAAATAAATATTTTTGGTAACGGAAGTCAGCCTTCTTCATTTCTCTTTTTCTCACCTTAGGGGCTTAAAGGTTTTGCACCCAAGATCCATTGAGATTTTCATTGTGCCAATAAGAAAAACTCCTCCTTAAACAGAGATGGATCGAGCAAGTTTTAAGCCGGTGGGTGCAAAGTTCCCATTGCACCTACAACTTCAGTGACAATTGATTCAGACTTAAATCCACCCATGACCTTAACACTGGATAACAAAAGCTTCCATATTTTTTTCACTACCCTTCACGTTCGCACAAGGTAAACCCCACTCAAGTGTAATAGCTCACAAACCCCACAGAAGAGGTAAACCGCGCCAAGGAAGCATGCAGGGGGTTTAGAACTCGAGACCCCCCATTACCACAAGGAAACAAACAAGATCAAGAAAACTTACAAACACCACCTACTTAGCATTTTCATCTAATAACTCAAAACTCAAGATCAAACAAACAGAAAGATCTTGCTAATAATCCAAAAACTCCCTTACTCCTTAACAACCAACCCCACAACAAATTCTTCTTTTTTTCAGGATATGGTAAAGCCTTACCCCAACCC